AATTGAAATTTGTGGTATTCATTAAACAAAAATGGCCCATGCAGGTCTCGAACCTGCGACCTTCGCGTTATTAGCACGACGCTCTAACCAACTGAGCTAATGGGCCAATTTGCACAGACCTTGATTACAAATTTAATAAATCTTATCAACGGCATACTGCCATTCCCAACTAACTTTTACGTTGAAATTTTACAGAGCCAGCGGGAGCTTCGAACTTTGGCATTAATTTTAGGTCAAGATTCGGTTCCAAGCAATTTTAATGGGGACATTTCAGTATCTATCACAATCCAACCTTCTTGGACCATGCTAGTAAAACTAATATTTATTGCATTAAGCATCTCGTGCTGCAGTTCTGATCTCTAGTTCACAATGGACAGAATAAAAACTTCTCACTACTGATGGCAAAAAAATTTCATGAAATTGGTTTTCTTGATACAACCTTTCTATGCACCATTTTCCACCTTTTTAAGGAAAATGTTTTTCTGTGGGTTAGGTGGTTTTTTGTTCTCCAGCCTTTATTTTTTTTGGCAATTGATACAAATTCTATCCCCAATTGCAATAAATTTTATTTCTTTAATTGACAATTTTCATGAAAACAAAGTCAAATGAGTACTAAAGATTCAAAATTTCAATATTTTTTAGGTGAAAAATTATACTATTCAAATACATTTAATTGACAATTCCCAGTAAAACAAGTTCTAGACAATTCAATTATATAAAATTCGTTTGCTTTCCATCCAAATTTTATTCTTGCAATCGAATGACCCTTATAGTTTTTTGCAATAGTTATACATTTAGAGAATCATACTTACGATTCTTTGTTTTTATCATGTCTACTAGGGTAGGAGATCAATTCTATCTCATGTTGATACAAAAGTTTTAAGTATAAAATAGATCAGAATTATTGCATAAGAATTCGCGATCCGAATGTCTTTGTCATGCATTAGAACACATTAACTTGCATTCAACACAATTTGCATTTAACTTAGTTAATTTACTCATAATTGCATAAGCATATTATTTTAGTTATAATTTCGTCATAAACAAACACATCACTTTATTATTGTTTCAGTTAAGGTCGCGATATTCAAAATCAAACTAAATGAATTTCTGTGGGACAATACTTGGACTTAAATCCACTTTATTACTTGTTAAGTAATCGTACATTTGCAGTGGTTTTAATTCGACAGATATTTTTTGAGCATCTTCAATTGAGATTTTAATTATTGAAATCCTTTAAAATTAAGCATCCTCAATATCTAGTGAATTTATAAAAAAAAAAAAATTATTAATAGAATGGTTCTAAAAGATTTGAATGGATTTCAAGGTAAAAAATACATGAAATCAAATCTTTTGAAATTTCAATATATTCGATGAGATTCTTATGAAATTTGTGAAAATTTATTCAAATCCACAAAATTCATTAGGATTTATAATATTTTAAATTTATCAAAATTTTAGTTGAGTACACCCCCCATAAGTCTCTAATCGTCAAAACAGAGCAAATTGGTCCCAAATCTCTCATTATAACTGTTCAATCAATCTCTAATTATATTGACTTTTCAAAATCATCATTGAATGACACCGCTCCAAGTCGTGAAAGAATGACTTTCCTATTTAACAAAATGCCTTAAGCAACTATAATAAAAGTTAGAAGCAAATTTTATTCTTTTTAATAGTTGAAAACTAACTAATATTGATGAAATAATACATTTGGGACCAACAGTGCAATTTTCCCACATAGATAGGCAGGTGAATCAAGCTACAATTCAACTGAGTACTTAGAGAGAGCCCTACAACAATCTCCAATGCGATAGTACAACTTAATGCTATCTTTACATGAAACTGGTGACTGCTGCAGTTTATCTAACTCTTCATATAGAGTAAATTCCATCTGCATTAATCGATAAAATTTTATCTTTGAACAAAGACGAGGGACCATTTCCGTACTTAAGGCACAAGCTAGGGATAATTTGCATCAAATTCCCTCAATTTATTTACGGAGAAATTAAAATGAAGATAGAAATACAAAAACGAAAAATTAAAATTCCAAATAATTGTAAACTACGTCATGGAATTTTATAATCTAATAACATTTTACTATCGGAAATTATAATTTAAACTCATAAGCAAAATCCAATCTATAATCATTAGAGTTCTCCTTCATCTTCTAATCATTTTCACCTTTTTTACTATGCGACACTGAAAGAGCCAAAACATTCTTCATTGTTGGTTAAAATTTAAGTTACAAGAATATTTTCTCGGACATCCTTCTCTCTAGTACACTTCGTCAACAATATTTTGTTCTTCGCTTGGAAATGAAGAATTTTCACTTAAAGTGGAGAAGTCGCCGGAATTTGTGGAGATGAGCTAAGTAGAAAAGGAGAATTATTTGAGGAAAAAAAAAATGCAAACTATGATTTGGGGGAAGAGTGAGATTAAGGACTGGAGAGAAGTTGGGAGATAGAATACTATTGGAAAAAAATCGTGCAAGTACGTAAAAGTACAAAATAAAAATAAAAAAAATCAGAAATTTTTGTGAGGTCGACTACTCATTTGCTACTATGTAAATATGCCACTTCCATGCATCGAAGCATTAATTTGTTTCACTAGAACGTCTTCAACAATATTTCATTAAATATAAAAACAAGTTTTTCATCAAAACAATCGTTTTAAAACTTGATCTAGACATTATCGTTCAATTAAGTCCCATTTGGTTTAGCAAAAACTCAAAATTTTAAGATATTTTGATAAAAGTGATAAAAAAAAGTTAATAAAAATTGTGAACTTCATATGTTATTAGAAATAAGTTTGAAAAAAAAAATGAATTTTGAAAAAGGGGTCAAACAATCTAAGCAATGTTAGAATTTGAGATTTCAACTTCTAGGGTGTGTTTGATTGATTTTATTTTTCATGAAAAAATCAAATTTTACTTTCACTCGAGTTTCTACTTTTGGAGTGTTTGATTGATATCTTTTTTCATAAAAAATATTCTTTAAAGGTTGGTCACGTGATCATATTTTCTTCAAAAATGAAGAAAAAAATTCTTGGGGATGGATATGTTTTTATTTTTCGGCAATTCAATCTCTCTTATGTAATCACCAATAAATGATTGACAAATATAATATTTTTTAAATAAAAAATTAAATCAATCAAACATATTTATTTCATGCAAATAAATTTTAGACAATCCAAATATCTAAAAGTTATTTTACTCTCATACAAATTTTATACTTGCAATCAAACACGCTCTTATACTATCACATTTCAAAAATACATGTAACCAAGAGAGCACAAATTTCTAGTGCAACAAACTCACTAGTTGCTACAAAGTTTTAATCAAATTAAGTATTTTTTTAAGGGAAAAATCATATTTTAGGTATATTCATTACACCATTTCAAAAATCTAAAATGAAGTTTGAAAATTCAAAATTCAGATATATATTTATTTAATTAAAAATATTTATTAAATAAATATAATAAAGTTACAATTACATGATTAATGGTCACGGATTCATAATTACATGTCATAGAATCATTAATTGATTACATATCGTCAAATTAGTTGGTCACAGATTATTTTGTGGTCACAAATCAAAAATTTTGTTGGTCACAGAGTATTCAAATTACGAGTTATATTTTATCTATGGGTCACATGGTCACAGTTTGTTGGTCACAAATCAGCTAAATTGTTACAGACGCCCCACCCATCACCGCCACCGCAACAACCACCTCCAACATCATCAACAACACAACAATAATTGGTCATCACGGCCTCTAGAGCCACCATCACCTCACCAATATGAGCACCATCGCCTCCTGCCACCACCCATAATGAGCACTATCGTATTTGTACCACCACCACCACAATAGGCCACCAAATCCAATCTATTACCAACAAAAACCACGACAACCACCTCTATCAGATCTCTTGCCACCAACAACCACCTCTACCACCACCAACCACTATCACCATCACAACCACCACTATCTCAAAAATTACAATCACCAGACCACGGTCTAGCTATCTCACACATCGATTTTAAAGAGTCTCCAACCCCAGCCCCACCACCACAACATCAATACTACACCAAACAGTGCGACGGTGTCATCAAACAATTGCAGCAATGCTGCCCAACACCCACATCAATTAACTACAGCGTCATCATCTCAAAATCCAACCACCACCTACGACAACTACTAAACCTTCGAATAAAATGCCACTTTGAGGCCGATTGAGTACTGCTGCAGCGGCTAAGATCTGAGCGCACCTACTGTTCTTCGTTGCAACGGCGCTCAGATCTGAGCTCCACCACAACTAGCATTTCAGAGCGTCGCTGATTCAGAGCGTTGCCAGAGCAAATAGAGTACATAGATCGGTGATTGAGTGTCGTCGATTCAGAGCGCCGACATTGATAAAGGAAGAAAACCCAGTGGCTTGACGACAAGGAAGAAAATAAATGGGTAGAGCGAGAAATCTAAAGCAGAATAAATTATATTGAGAGATAGATATAAATTCAATTACTACCTGAGTTTTGATTAAATAAACTTTACTCCTGATTATTAAATTAAGAAACTTAAGTAACTGTTTATATGTAATTTCCTTCTTTTTTTTTTTTTTTTAATTCACAAGCGCCACCAACAATAGTCAAGCAGAGTCACAAAGTCATCAAAGTATGAGTAATTCCATTTTTACAGTGTACAGCCCCCTGGGTTCATAATAAATAAAAAATTTGTGGCCCCATCATGTGAGGACCGGGATTCTCAAAGTATACTCAAATTCCGTACATTTCTGACCAATTAAACAGAACCCATCGTACTGAAACATCTTAAGAAAATCTGAAACTAAAAAACCACCGCGTACCAACGTAACCAAAAGGACCAGAACCAATCACAACTCGACAACGCATCCTCATAAAACCACCTTGTTTTCTATGGTGGTTTCACATCCTATTCCGCATGTGTAGGTGCTTTATCAGACAGCAACTTGGCCACCAAATGAAACAAAACAAGAAATGAAAATTTTACTGTACCTTAAAAACTTTCACCACGAGAGAAATTACAATCTGAGTGAAAAAATAATTATTATAATATCTGGGTTTCCATTTTTAGGGTTGTTTGAGAGAGAGAGAGAGGAAAGAGAGAGAGAGAATGGGAAGAGGAAAGGTACAACTGAAGAGGATAGAAAACAAGATAAACAGACAGGTAACTTTCTCAAAGAGGAGAGTTGGATTGCTAAAGAAGGCTCATGAGATCTCTGTACTGTGTGATGCGGAAGTGGCTTTGATTGTTTTTTCCTATAAGGGGAAGCTCTTTGAGTATGCCACTGATTCTTGGTATGGTTTTTCTTTTCTTTATTTATATCTGATATTATTATTGTTCTTTGGGTAATAAAATCTGTTATTTTCTTTAGGGTTTCTTAGTTTCACTTCTCTTCGTCATTAATTTTTATGTTATTTTCAATTCTTAATTTTCTTGATGCATACATCTTTTTAAGTTTTTTATCTTTAAATTTGTGATATGCTCATATGTTTTAAAAAAAATAATTTCTATTTCCTGTGATTTCAAAAGAAACATCAATTTAATTAACATCCCTTATTTCTTCGTTTTCTCCTAAAGATTTCGTGGTTATCTGTGAATTTTGGCCATCTAAATATATTTCTTCATATAAATATCCATCATTGTTTTGATTTGCTGTGTTTAATGAATTCTCTTAGATTTCTTTGAAAACAGTAATATTCAGTTCTTATTCTATTTGTAAAATTCAGTTATTTATGTTTCTGTACTAATTGCATGCTGAATTCATTAACATTCTGGGGCTTTTAAGGAATTTTTGAATTCAGGAAGTTAGAGTAGCAGTGCCTTTCTAACAAAGAATAAATGCTATATATACAATCATTGTTGAGAACATTGATTTACAATATCCTGCTCCGCAGCATCATATTCATCCATTTTAAAAACGATTTTTAATATCAAATGCTCAAATTTTGACAACACATGGTTATTAACCCCATATTTGTACATCTAGCTTTATTGAAATCAGATTATATTGGAAAAAACACAACTTCTCCTTTACTTCACTTGATAAAAATATTGCTAGTCAAAATTATAAATTCGATCGTGTAACAACTTGCTAAATTGATTTAAATAAAATGTATCAACTTCAATGCATGTTGTAATATAGAGGTTGTGGGTTTCCATGTGGGATGACCAGACCCGCAACACACAAAATGGTTGGAGAGAGTGGTTTGAATTTACAACTTCCTATAACCTCCCAACCTACAATATTCTACAACCTCAAAGTCTTGTCTTGTGCAAGGAAGAGAAAAGATGGCAAGGAAATAGTGAAAATCTGTATAGAAAATACCAAAAAATTGAGAAGTGCCTTGAACCATAATTTTGGCTTGAGAACTTATAAAACTAGGCATTTAGATTGTAGATAATAATCTTCTTCATTTTCACTACAAAAAAATATGGCTTTAGACACGGATTTTTTGTTCTTGAAACCACAATATCCTTTGATGATAATATTCACCAATGGAAAATGATTAGTTGAAAGCCTGTAACTATTCTGAGTTATGTAGCACGGACACTCTAACTAGAGTAGTGTGTCTGTGTCAGACATGTGTCGATACCAACACTCTTCGAACGCTCTGCAATAATTATTTTTCTTTCTTTATGAAGATTCAAAATATTTAGGGACGACACATATAACCTCGGTTGAGGGTGGTTCCCGTTGCCAAGCCAAAGGTGGCAAGGGAAACAACTAAAATTCAAAATTGTTATATTGAGGATATCAGCAACTTGATGGGAAGATGACATACGTAGTTAAGGAAAAGTTGTTGAATAACGCGATAATAAAATAATTGTCAAAAAGTCATACTAAAACTAGAATCGAAAACTTATCATAAGGTTATGCTCATCGATCCATTTTATTTTCTTTCTTTAATTTTTAATAATATGAATACTATTAATGGAAAAGAATACTAAGTGATGAAGATAGACAGTATTATTAATTTATGTTATTTTTATCTTTTTTTTTTATTAATTAGTAGTTGAAGGACTAGAGAGCCATTTTAATTCTAATTAGCAATTATTCTTTAGCTTTGTTATTGAATAAAATTATATCGATCCAGAGGTTCTCCATGTCATATTATTAATTAATGCCCGTGTTTAAGGGAATCAACGGTTATTTGATTGCTCTTTTTTTTTCTTTCTTTGAAAAAAAAAAAGAAAAAAAAAAAAAAACACTATCGGAAGGAATGTAGGATTTCACAACACTATGCCAGAAACCTCTCCATTATTTCAACCGACAACATATAGTTAGCTCTCCATCTAGATGAAGAAAACCTTAGCTAATGTATTTCTTTGACCAAACAAGCAGACATGGGCATGTAAATCTTAAAAATTTACTTATATGCTTTCAAACAAATATTTTTTTTGTCAAAGTTAAAAATAAACAAGTTAGTTATTTTGATAGCAACCACTATGTTACTTTTAAATAGACCTTGCTATATGTGTATCAAAATTTACATAAAAAATTACGTAATGTGTACATGACATTTTACCATTTATTAGTTAAAATATAACAACTTTTTTATCCAATCTTTTCACTCCACTTCATTTTCGGTAACTACTTATGTACCATTTTTATGTATAAGTTGCAAAATCTTTAAAAGAAATACTCCATCCCACAAAAAGATAGGTTCACTTTCATTTTCAAACAAATTAAGAAAATTTAATTAATATAGTAGGAAAAAATATATATATATATATATAGAATCCAAAGTTTACTTAAAAGAGCTTAGCCAAAGATGCTTGGTGACTCCAAAAGAAACAGACTTCATCAACTCATTGACTCTACCAATGAAATTTGTGCTGTGTGCATATATAAACATTGCATTCTGTGGAAATTTAACATTTTTCTTTTATGACAGCATGGACAGAATCCTTGAGAGGTATGAAAGATATTCATTTGCAGAGAGGCAATTAGTTGCAAATGAACCCCAGTCACCTGTAAGTCCTGAATTCAACAAGCAAACTTTTTGGTAGTACTCGACAGTACTAAAAAAGATAAAGACATATTTTCCATTATAATGTCGAGTTCTGTCTCATATTGCATACGGACATGCCCATAGGGTATGTATTACTTGTTCGTAGAGTATGATTTGTATTGGTTTATGTATTTGCTTTGGACCCATTCCCATGGAGGCAATATTTTAAAGTTTCTATATTTGTAACAATATTTGAATTATGCAGGCAAACTGGGCACTAGAATACTCCAAACTTAAAGCTAGAACTGAACTTCTGCAGATGAAACACAGGTAAAAAATTTACTCAGTATATATATTCAAGATGAGTAAACAAGGATCCCTGTTTACGGTTTCTCTTACTCTATAGTTTGCTTGTCCTCTCAGCCACTATATGGGAGAAAATCTTGACTCGATGAGCCTGAAAGATCTTAAAAATTTGGAGCAACAGATTGAAACTGCTCTTCAGAACATTCGATCTAGAAAAGTACGATGTGGTTACCTATATTTTCCGCAGAAATAACGGTTTCACTTTATTCAATTTTCAATGTGAAATCTAAAGGCTCTGGTTTTTTATGAACAGAATCAACTGTTGCAAGAGTCAATCTCTGAGATGCAGAAAAAGGTTGTCTCTTAAGCACTTTCAATCTCAAAATGAAATTATTACTGCTTATGATAACAATGATCATTGTGCCTGGTCCTCCCGCTCCCAAATTAGTCTGCAGCAAAAGTTTTTAGTGATCATAATTTACACTTAGGATTTGCATTTGTAACAATAATGAGGCCTAATAATCTCACTGCACAAATTTCAGGTATACGAGCTAGAAACTCCTAACTTTCAGCCAAGTAGATAAACACCATTTATATATGGGTAGAAATGCACTTCAGGTTAAAACCTTTTTAGGGTTTGGTATTATAAGTTAAGCTCCTGTTTGATGAGCTCAAAAAAAAAATAATAATAAAAATAAAAATAAAAATCACTTTTCTTGGTTTGTGTGTAAGTTCTATTAGGCAAGAAAATTTGTCTTTGCCAACATATCAAGAAAGTATCGAAATGTCCTTTGCAAAACTTTTTGGAGAAATAACAAGCATGAGGGCATTTCCATCTTTTGCAGAAGTGTAATAAGGTGTGGGCCCATTTGGAGTTATTTTATTGAAAGTTTGAATTGTCAAAATAGCTAGTAATATGCAATTTAAGCTACATCAAACAGGTTAATTTGCTTGTGAAAGTTCTAGGTTTACTATGTAATTGTTTCAGAGGTTCAGAAGCTCTTTGCAACTCATTTTATTATTTGGCGATAGAAAGGCCAAAAAGTAACATAGTCATAACAGCTAAATGTGTGTATGTGTGTGATTTTTTTTTATTTTTTTATTTTTTTTCCCTTTTTAATGATGACTTGCTGCATTTCAAACGTATAAAGGCAGGTTCGGTTGAAACCATGAAGAGACTATTAGAAAGAAAAAAAATTTAAAATATCATATATTATATTGCCTAGTGTTATCTATCTAGTAGTAGTTATCAATATGATAGATGCAATGAGAAAATACATTTTTAATATTGTAACCTACACTCTAGTAATTTTTATTTATTTTTTTCTTTTATTTATTTATTTATTTTTTTTTACAGGAGAAGGCATTACGAGAACAAAACAACATGCTGGAAAAGAAGGTAAGTCATATTGATGGATAAGCTTACAAATCAGAAAGAAAACGTTAAACTATCTTCTTCTTCTTCTTCTTCTTCTTGATAATAAGGTAATGGTTACTTTCAAAATTTTTTACTAACAAAACATATAAAGCTTATTTACGTATAAATACACCTATTGATATAACAAAGTAAACTTTTTAAGCTCCGGAAACATGCACAACACCATGAATACTGCAATTATCCTTTGTCTCATTTCTTATAATGAATTTGAAGCTAATAGAAATTAATGGCTGTCATCTGCAAATAGATCAAAGAGATGGAGAAGGAAATGGCAGTACGGCAACAGTGGGAACTTCCTAATCCTAATCATGGCGGTAATGGACCACCGTTCCTAATGGCTCCTCAACTTCCTTGCCTCAACATCAGGTGAGTATCTTAATCCCAGGTTCAATGAGGAGAAAGAAAATAAATCTTTATTTGTGCGTGAATAAAAATTTCCTTGTGACATGCATATGTGTGTAATCGAGTACAAATATTCATATTATCTTGAGAGACAGACATGAACCCCAAAAAATTGGATTACACATACTATCCATCTTAATGTCCTATATTAAATTATATCAACAATTAAATCTCCATGAAATGCATGATTTTTTTTTTCATGATTTATGGATTGTTTTGGTTTTTGTGTAACCTGTGTTATTTTGGTAGTTTATGTGATTTCGGTATTGTTATGACATTTGTGACTTCGATACCCTATAGAATCTGTTTGGGAGTGATTTTGATAATTGATTTCTTGACCGTTAGGAGAAAAGTGGGGTCCACCTGTGAGAGAAGAAGTCAAATATGACGGCTGGAATAGTGAAATAACGGTAAAAAATCAATTTTTGTGTGCAAAAAATCATTCCCAAATAGGCTCGTAGTAGTTTACTAGTTTTTAAATTATCCTCTTATGACATTAAAATTTTGTTATCTATTTTTGAGATTTTCTTCAAGGACTAAGATTTAAATTGCATTTAAGAAAAAGGATGTTCACATCATAATCCTTTTTAGTAAATGCACCATTTTATGTCCTTATCTTTTTTCATCACAATGGTTTAATACGAAAGATAAATATTTAGTCACATTTTCATATATTTTATATTTTTATTTATTTAAAATGCAATGGATAAATACGTCTTTACTTCATTTTAACGAAATCTTTGGATAGAGACCATCGATAGGGGCAAGATATGCTAATAAATGAAAAGGTAAAGGATTAAAATACGATGAAAAAAAGTTGATGACATAAATGTACAATGTATAAAGATCATGGACCTTTCATACAATTAAAATCGTGGCATAATAACGCTCAAATATTAAGCAAAAGACTTGAGCCAAAAGGCACTGAGGCCAAATGCGCTTATCACCCACATCCAAGCTATGTCAACACACTTCCTTTCAACCCATCACGTGCACACCCACGCCAAGGCATCGACATGGGGCAAGGCAGAGCAACATGGATCTAACCATTCTCGTTATTCTTTGTGATCGTACTGCTTATGATAACAATGATCATTGTGCCTGGTCCTCCCGCTCCCAAATTAGTCTGCAGCAAAAGTTTTTAGTGATCATAATTTACACTTAGGATTTGCATTTGTAACAATAATGAGGCCTAATAATCTCACTGCACAAATTTCAGGTATACGAGCTAGAAACTCCTAACTTTCAGCCAAGTAGATAAACACCATTTATATATGGGTAGAAATGCACTTCAGGTTAAAACCTTTTTAGGGTTTGGTATTATAAGTTAAGCTCCTGTTTGATGAGCTCAAAAAAAAAATAATAATAAAAATAAAAATAAAAATCACTTTTCTTGGTTTGTGTGTAAGTTCTATTAGGCAAGAAAATTTGTCTTTGCCAACATATCAAGAAAGTATCGAAATGTCCTTTGCAAAACTTTTTGGAGAAATAACAAGCATGAGGGCATTTCCATCTTTTGCAGAAGTGTAATAAGGTGTGGGCCCATTTGGAGTTATTTTATTGAAAGTTTGAATTGTCAAAATAGCTAGTAATATGCAATTTAAGCTACATCAAACAGGTTAATTTGCTTGTGAAAGTTCTAGGTTTACTATGTAATTGTTTCAGAGGTTCAGAAGCTCTTTGCAACTCATTTTATTATTTGGCGATAGAAAGGCCAAAAAGTAACATAGTCATAACAGCTAAATGTGTGTATGTGTGTGATTTTTTTTTATTTTTTTATTTTTTTTCCCTTTTTAATGATGACTTGCTGCATTTCAAACGTATAAAGGCAGGTTCGGTTGAAACCATGAAGAGACTATTAGAAAGAAAAAAAATTTAAAATATCATATATTATATTGCCTAGTGTTATCTATCTAGTAGTAGTTATCAATATGATAGATGCAATGAGAAAATACATTTTTAATATTGTAACCTACACTCTAGTAATTTTTATTTATTTTTTTCTTTTATTTATTTATTTATTTTTTTTTACAGGAGAAGGCATTACGAGAACAAAACAACATGCTGGAAAAGAAGGTAAGTCATATTGATGGATAAGCTTACAAATCAGAAAGAAAACGTTAAACTATCTTCTTCTTCTTCTTCTTCTTCTTGATAATAAGGTAATGGTTACTTTCAAAATTTTTTACTAACAAAACATATAAAGCTTATTTACGTATAAATACACCTATTGATATAACAAAGTAAACTTTTTAAGCTCCGGAAACATGCACAACACCATGAATACTGCAATTATCCTTTGTCTCATTTCTTATAATGAATTTGAAGCTAATAGAAATTAATGGCTGTCATCTGCAAATAGATCAAAGAGATGGAGAAGGAAATGGCAGTACGGCAACAGTGGGAACTTCCTAATCCTAATCATGGCGGTAATGGACCACCGTTCCTAATGGCTCCTCAACTTCCTTGCCTCAACATCAGGTGAGTATCTTAATCCCAGGTTCAATGAGGAGAAAGAAAATAAATCTTTATTTGTGCGTGAATAAAAATTTCCTTGTGACATGCATATGTGTGTAATCGAGTACAAATATTCATATTATCTTGAGAGACAGACATGAACCCCAAAAAATTGGATTACACATACTATCCATCAAATTATATCAACAATTAAATCTCCAGGAAATGCATGATTTTTTTTTTCATGATTTATGGATTGTTTTGGTTTTTGTGTAACCTGTGTTATTTTGGTAGTTTATGTGATTTCGGTATTGTTATGACATTTGTGACTTCGATACCCTATAGAATCTGTTTGGGAGTGATTTTGATAATTGATTTCTTGACCGTTAGGAGAAAAGTGGGGTCCACCTGTGAGAGAAGAAGTCAAATATGACGGCTGGAATAGTGAAATAACGGTAAAAAATCAATTTTTGTGTGCAAAAAATCATTCCCAAATAGGCTCGTAGTAGTTTACTAGTTTTTAAATTATCCTCTTATGACATTAAAATTTTGTTATCTATTTTTGAGATTTTCTTCAAGGACTAAGATTTAAATTGCATTTAAGAAAAAGGATGTTCACATCATAATCCTTTTTAGTAAATGCACCATTTTATGTCCTTATCTTTTTTCATCACAATGGTTTAATACGAAAGATAAATATTTAGTCACATTTTCATATATTTTATATTTTTATTTATTTAAAATGCAATGGATAAATACTTCTTTACTTCATTTTAACGAAATCTTTGGATAGAGACCATCGATAGGGGCAAGATATGCTAATAAATGAAAAGGTAAAGGATTAAAATACGATGAAAAAAAGTTGATGACATAAATGTACAATGTATAAAGATCATGGACCTTTCATACAATTAAAATCGTGGCATAATAACGCTCAAATATTAAGCAAAAGACTTGAGCCAAAAGGCACTGAGGCCAAATGCGCTTATCACCCACATCCAAGCTATGTCAACACACTTCCTTTCAACCCATCACGTGCACACCCACGCCAAGGCATCGACATGGGGCAAGGCAGAGCAACATGGATCTAACCATTCTCGTTATTCTTTGTGATCGATAACTCTTGATGCTTATTTTTTTAACATCTTAAGGAATTAGAAAATTGTTCGTGCTTGTCTCTTTTATACACTTCTTCTGACAACACACTCATTTTAATTGCCTTTTGGCTTATTTGAAAAGATGGAATACGCATCGGCATTGGAGACTATTAATCAAGAAAAGAAATTGTTATCATATATTGTAATGTCAAGTCAAATCGAGTACTGTATACAATAAAATACTTGGACACATTGTTGATAATGTGTAATTGGTATACTATTTGATGCAGTGGTGCATATGAAGGAGAATCAGCAGAAGCCACCAGGAATGAACTCGATCTCAATCTGGATTCACTGTATTCATGCCATCTTGGATGCTTTAATGCATGAAAAATATATAAAGACTGCTTCTTTAAGTAGGATTATATTTGGATCAGAGAATAATATACTCTCGCGTATTTATCATGTTCGAGTGTATTGTCTTTGCTAATTTCCATCTCCTCTGAGCAAATTATTTATAAGACTGTATTTTGCAAGGAGTATTTAGCGAAGAAACTCTAAATACGTTGCAACTATGAAATAATGTAATCTATGTACGTATAACATTACATATGTGACTTTGATTTATGCATTATGAATCCTTTCACAGTAATTCATATTTTCTGTGCTCTTTATTATTTTCATCATCTTCATCTTCATCTTCATCTTCATCTTCATCACCATCATCTATTTATTATTATCAGTGATTTTTAGGATTTGAGTTGCAAAAGAGAAAGGGTCTAAGGCATGTAATCGATTGATTGAAGATACAGTTTGTAATTTTTCTAGTCGAACCAACTAGTCTTACCAGGTTTTATGCTTTCAAATAGAACACAATCTAATATTATCCCTTTTACTGGAGAATAAGATTGAAGCACACAGCTTCCCAGAAAGTTTATGATACTTTGATTGCACAGAAACGGGTTAATAACCTAAATGATTACTGAACTTTGCAAAAAGTTACCACGGAGTCATTTAACTTTAAAAATCACCCAAGTCATCACTGAACCTTGCAAAAGGTTTCCATGGGATCATTGAACTTTAAAAATTATCCCTCCCATTCAACATTAAACTTTGCAAAAGGTTTTCATGGGGTCACTGAAAACCTTTTGCAAAGTTTAGTGATGAATGAAATGATTTTTAAAGTTCAGTAATCTCGTGGAATTTTTTTGCAAAATTCAGTGATGACTTGAGCGATGTTTAAAGTTCAGTGACCATGTGAAAACTTTTTACAAAGTTCAGAGATCATTTGGGTTATTAAATCCACTGAGAGGCACAAACAAGAGGAAAAGGCAAGATTTCGAAGAGTAAAACATATTATTGATTACTGCTAACTTTTCAAAACATCCATCATGGGCAGATAATTAACAGAATTTTGGGTGGATCGGCAAAGGAAAACACAAAATACAGAATTCAACCTCAAAATGCTATGTATCCTTTGATAATCCATATATAAGAACAAAAACAATTGCGAACCCACCTTGCATCCAGCATCAGCAAATTTACATTTCATATCCTCTAGAATATATCCAGTCCTTGGACAGTGGCACTTTAAACTGATTCATCAAAGAGCATAATCTAGACAGGAGAAGAGGAAATAAATGTGAAAATGGAATCAAGTAAATATCAATTCATGCGGACAATGCAATAACCGTCTTTGAAATAAAACTCGAGTTTCAGCAATTTTGGGGAGGAAGTGCACATTGCATACTCTACACTTTCACTCAATAACAGGAGAAATGAAAAAAAGTTAACATATATACTATAGATGCTAGTGTATTTCAGAAGCAATAGTCCACCCAGCCTAACAAAAATTTGCCAATGCATTCAAAGGAAAACATAAATATAGCCCATTGAAGATGTCGAAATGGTATAGCTTTCTTTTCTGTGAGTTAAAAGCACTCCTTACTGATGTTTAAGGGTTCTAGTGGATATTATAAGGAGGGTCGTGTTAATTCAGTCAATTCGTAATATTGTGGTTGAAGAGGTTAAGGCAGATTTAATTGCCCTGTGTCACTTGACTTTCAAATGATTTCAGAAGGCCTTACAAAGGTTTGACCACGAAAATACCAAATGCTAGGTAAAAGGTGTATGCATATCTTCTATGCAGGTCTTTCCTCCACTGTTAGTCGCTTAGAACTAATGAAAGCAGAGTACTCAGAACTAGAGAATGAGATTTATATCTTCTTTGGGACGTTATCATGGTAGCATGCCACACATGAGGTGCAGTTTTATTACGGGAGTGTAAGAGATGAAATAATGAATTTCTTCATCTGAGTGGGAAATTGGGTTATGTAACAATTTACTTCTTTCATCAGCATTTATCACACATGATTATCTTTGATCTTTATTCAAAAATATGGGCAATTTATATACAGAGAACGGTCATTGGCCAATGGAACTGTCATATAAGATATAGAAAGAAGGCCAACTAGCATCCTACCTTTCCACAAACAGGACAGCTTACACTTCTTTCCATCCACTCTTATATACAACTGAGATGATAATGATAAGAATATTTTGCTATAATTTTAGGATTTTTCTGGAGTATATTCTGCAAGAAATATACTTCAAATATTAGCGGATTAACATATTTTGTTTGATCAAAAAGAATTTATCAAAAATTACACATATTGATACTACTTCACATATTCTATAATAATTACCTTCAAGACATTTGGGACATACATCCTCATTGTCTGGTGAAGAGAACTCATAGCCAATTCCACTTTCCACTCTTGATGACAAGACTTTCAGAGAGGACTCGGATTGGTAATTAGTGGACGCTGTTTCACCATAAGATTCATCTATCTTGTGTTCTAGTAATATTTTTATTTTTCCGTGAAAATCAGTTGGTCTAATTGGTTCCGGCACAACTTGGGATTGGCTAGTAACCTTCTCCTCTAATCTCATTACTACATCCTGTTGCACTTGCAAATTTCGGAAGTTGCCACTGTTTGGCAATGCTCTGTCATGAGATTGACTGTTGTCGTATGAAATGTCAAGTGCTGCTTCAGAACCTGAAGGAGCTGCTTGTCGATTAGATAAAGTGATTGCATCCAAATTTAAAATGAAGGCCATCTCTTCAGCAACAAAATTATGATTTTATTATTATTCAAAGAGAATGCCAAAATAACAAATGTAAAAACAACCAAAAGAACTGCAACAAACAAGGTGATTGGAAAATTCTCTCATCCATAATGTACTTTTTGAGAGATTAATCTCTAGTATTCTGGAGAACACAAAGTCAGATTCACCAGATATATTACAGTTGCATATTTTGTTGGCTTATGAAAAAGACATATCAACGTTTTACGAAGTTTACATTTTTTTCTAGTCTATTGAAATAGTTTAAAACTGATGACAAGTGCAAAAAAATACAAACATACACAAGTTAAGGTCAATTCCAATTTAAAAAAAAATAAAAAAAAATAAAATAAAATAAAATCGTTAAATAAATAGATAAGTAACCGATTTTCACATCACCGGGATCAGAACTTCTCAGTTCTCACTGGACTACGTTAGATTTGTTTGGCACTTTTCGGAGCTCATACTGAATACTAGATGAGAAATCATTTTTAAGTCTTTTTCAACAACTAGTTTAACTTTTTACAGGAAATTGAAATCAATGTAAACAGAGTCCAAAAAGGACGATGTACAGTACAAAATTAGGCAAGTGAAAAGCTTGCATCACATGTTAGCTCAAGATAAATAAAGTCCCTAATTTACCTTATTCATTAAGTATTGAATGCAGCATTTGGGACACGAAAAATCTTGGTTCCTTGTATTCGATCCAGCACTACCATCCCCATCATGAACATGGAAACAACAGCAGATGGAACTCATTGTCGTCGTCCCAACTCACGTCTTCTCTGAACCCAAATAAAACTATGAATTTAAGGTCCTTGCAAGAATTGACCATGTAATTCTAAAGAGATTCAACAGTCAAAACCTTTCTTGGTTCACAATTAAATCCATCCAAAAGATTTTCACAGGGTCACTGAAAACATTTTGCAAAGTTTAGTGATGAATGAGATGATTTTTAAAGTTCAGTCATCTCGTGGATACTTTTTGCAAAATTCAGTGATGATTTGGGTGATTTTCAAAGTTCAGTGACCCCGCGAAAGCTTTTTGCAAAGTTTAGAGACCATTTGGGTTATTAACTCCACTGAGAGGCACAAATAAGAGGAAAAGGCAAGATTTCGAAGAGTAAAACATATTATTGATTACTGCTAACTTTTCAAAACATCCATAATGAGCAGATAATTAACAGAATTTTGGGTGGATCGGAAAAGGAAAACTCAAAATATAGAATTCAACCTCAAAATGCTATGTATCCTTTGATAATCCATATATAAGAACAAAAACAATTGCGAACCCACCTTGCATCCAGCATCAGCAAATTTACATTTCATATCCTCTAGCATATATCCAGTCCTTGGACAGTGGCACTTTAAATTGATTCATCAAAGAGCATAATCTAGACAGGAGGAGGAAATAAATGAGAAAATGGAATCAAGTAAATATCAATTCATGCTGACAATGCAATAACCGTCTTTGAAATAAAACTCGAGTTTCAGCAATTTTGGGGAGGAAGTGCACATTGCATACTCTACACTTTCACTCAACAATAACAGGAGAAATGAAAAAAAGTTTAACATATATACTATAGATGCTAGTGTATTTCAGAAGCAATAGTCCACCCAGCCTAACAAAAATTTGCCAACGCATTCGAAGGAAAACATAAATATAGCCAATTGAAGATGTCGAAATGGTATAGCTCACTTTTCTGTGAGTTAAAAGCACTCCTTACTAATGTTTAAGGGTTTTAGTGAATATTATAAGGAGGATTGTGTTAATTCAATCAACTAGTAATATTTGTGGTTGAAGTCTTGAAGAGGTTAACGCAGATTTAATTGCCCCGTGTCACTTGACTTTCAAATGATTTCAGAAGGCCTTACAAAGTTTTGACCACGAAAATACCAGATGCTATGTAAAAGGTGTATGCATATCTTCTATGTGGGTTTTTCCTCCACTGTTACCTTCAAGACATGTGGGACATACATCCTCATTGTGTGGTGAAGAGAACTCATAGCCAATTCCACTTTCCACTCTTGATGACAAGACTTTCAGAGAGGACTCGGATTGGCAATTAGTGGATGCTGTTTCACTATAAGATTCATCTATCTTGTGTTCTAGTAACATTTTTATATTTCCGTGAAAATCAGTTGGTCTAATTGGTTTCGGCACAACTTGGGATTGGCTAGTAACCTTCTCCTCTAATCTCATTACTACATCCTGTTGCACTTGCAAATTTCGGGAGTTGCCACTGTTTGGCATTGCTCTGTTATGAGATTGACTGTTGTCATATGAAATGTCAAGCGCTGCTTCAGAACCTGAAGGAGCTGCTTGTCGATTAGATAAGGTGATTGCATGTGATCCTCCTCTGACAAATAGATTCCTGTACTGTAACCAAATTTAAAATGAAGGCCATCTCTTCAGCAACAAAATTATGATTTTATTATTATTCAAAGAGAATGCCAAAATAACAAATGTAAAAACAACCAAAAGAACTGCAACAAACAAGGTGATTGGAAAATTCTCTCATCCATAATGTCCTTTTTGAGAGATTAATCTCTAGTATTCTGGAGAACACAAAGTCAGATTCACCAGATATATTACAGTTGCATATTTGCAGCTTTTTATAGGCAGACAAGATAATCGGCTTATGAAAAAGACATATCACCATTTTACGAAGTTCACATTTTTTCTAGTCTATTGAAATAGTTTAAAACTGATGACAAGTGCAAAAAAATACATACACACACAAGTTAAGGTCAATTCCAATTAAAAATAAAAAAAAATAAAAAAAAGCGTTAAATAAATAGATAAGCAACCGATTTTCACATCACCGGGATCAGAACTTCTCAGTTCTCACTGGACTACGTTAGATTTGTTTGGCACTTTTTCGGAGCTCATACTGAATACTAGATGAGAAATCATTTTAAAGTCTTTTTCAACAACTAGTTTAACTTTTTACAGGAAATTGAAATCAATGTAAACAGAGTCCAAAAAAGACGATGTACAATACAAAATTAGGCAAGTGAAAAGCTTGCATCACATGTTAGCTCAAGATAAATAAAGTCCCTAATTTACCTTATTCATTAAGTATTGAATGCAGCATTTGGGACACGAACAATCTTGGTTCCTTGTATTCGATCCAGCATTATCATCCCCATCATGAACATGGAAACAACAGCAGATGGAACTCATTGTCGTCGTCCCAACTCATGCCTTCTCTGAACACAAATAAAACTATGAATTTAAGATCCTTACCAGAATTGACCATGTAATTCTAAAGAGATTCAACCATCAAAACCTTTCTTGGTTCACAAGTAAATCCATCCAAAACGAAATCTTTATCTTTCTTGCATTTTCTTTAAAACACAGCGATGTAAAATCCTTTATTGGTTCACAGGTGTTGAATCAATGATAGCACATATTATAAAAACCATCCAAAACAAAATCTTCATTAATCTTTCGTTTATTTTGTTTAAAACACACTATGTTGTGATGTAGGCTGATGCAACCAATTCTCCCATTGCCGCAGCGGTACAAGAGTCGCATTCGAGCCCTTTATCGTCCAGAAAATGTCTGGAAATTCACTCCTATGCTATTAGTTCGAGCCTTGGGTCAAGAATACGTAGGCCCCCACTCATTATAACAAGTAATTAACAGACTGCCTCCCGGGGCACAGCTCAACTGGTGGATCAATCAATATTGTCTTGCTTCCAGCGGCAGGGTGAAGGTTTTAATCCTGGTGGAAACCTGCGGCTAGATTTATTTGGTATGGAGCAATCACTTTGGAGGAGGATCTCTTGTGCGCAGAAGTGTACAGACGGTGGGGGAACCTGTAATCCAGTTGAGGCATAACCCGCGATTTACCCCCTCCAAGATTCTAGGGGCAAGGGTCTTAGGGATCCAGGATTTAGTCTAGTGTAAGATTGAATACTTGGATTAAAAAAAAAAAAAAATAGGTAAATAACAGACTAAACTACAACCCACCACTACTTGCAATAATTATTCTTTACAACAATAATGATGTGACTAAAACCATAAAAAATTAGTACGAACCCATACAAGATAAACATACACACAGGAAAAAAAATCTTGAATAATATAATTGTTAGTTTAGAAGGAACCCTTTGTTAAATACATTTCATTATATGCATAAAGTCAGGAGAGGGCGTCCAAGAAATACCAGAGAGTTATCTTGTTCTTGACCGAAAGAAAAAGAGACGAAAAGGGAGTTGAAGTAGAGCAGACCTAGGAATCTCCGAGTCTGTGTCAATGTTAAAATTGTAGAATTTTTCGCCTGGGAATTAGCCCATTCCAATACTACATGAATTTTGGTTTCTTTGACTTATAGCAAACTATTCCCATTCCAATCTTACGGTTTGGAAATCTATGTTTGGTTTTGGTTTCCCATTCTCAAACTGTTTTCTATTTTAGTTTTCGAAAATACCCAAAACTTATTTGGTCTGTCGTTTTCAAAAATACATTTCCGACGACAAGGAAAAATTTAATTGAAAACTCAAAACAATTCTTTTCCGTTTTAAGTGTTTTTGTTTTAAAAACTCAAAACACGAAAAACACTTATAACACTCCATTTTTTTTTTAAACTTTTTTTTAAATTTTTTTTTACCAATGGGTGCTCAACAATACTTTTAAAATGAAATGTTGTGATCTGATACAATTTAGTGAAGCATAATAATTTTAAAACCCACAAAGCATTTTTCAATTTTCATTATTTTTTTTTCGTTGATCAAAATTTGGAAGAACTATTATTTCTTTTTTACTGTCCAAGTGACAACAAAACACATCTTGAAAGATGAAGGATGTACTAGCTATTTTCTTTACAACGATTCTTATTTTTGGTCTATAAATTTATTATTTATTATTTTATTTTTATAGCAAAAAATAGTAAATTCACCAAATTTAAAATATATAGCATCTGGTAATATATCAACATAAAATTATTATGTTTTACTAAATAATCAAATTAATTGAATAAATGCTATAAAACAATTTCTAAAAATTTTAAACCAAACGCATTTTATAGTTTTTCTATTTTGAGAAATCATTTTTCAAAATGACAAATCAAACACATTTTCTATAATTCTAAAATAGTCCCTCAAAATAGAAAACTAAAAATGAATTCAAAACTAAAAATAGAAAATGGAAACGCAAATCAAACACGGCCTAATTACTTTGGAAAAAATTAACGTCCAGCTTCTTAACCTTTCAATTGGCGTGATATGGGTTTCAATTTTCGAAAACATCTCAGTTTATTCAAATATATAAATTTAAATCCTTGTGTAACCGAAACTATGAACCAGCTGCATTTTCTATGTTAATGTTCGGGTCGAGTCTGACAATTATGTTATGAATGTGGATGTTAAGATCACATGTCTTTTCCAATTAAATTGAAAAGAAACTTATGTAATCTAATAATTTTACCCCCTAGCTTCGAGTCAAGTTAAAGATGCATGAAATTTTAACAACTAAATTGACGATTTTTTTGCCATGTGGGGGTCGGAATTCACAAAATGTAGGGGCCTTAACCTTTACTTTTAAAGTTTGATGACTCATAATCGCATCATACGAAGTTCAACTCTAATTTTCTATTTAAGAATCAATCCATTAACAATTCTTGTTCCAGGTTAAGACATAGGAGGGAGGAAGTCAATTAAGCAATAATTCAGAAATATATTCATTAAGATATTCTGAGAGGAAAAAAAGAATATTTTCTTCACTATAAATTTGCTGGAACCCAAAAACTCCAAACTCCTAATTTCTCGTATAATTTTATTATCAATCTTTAAATTTTATAATGTTCAATTGTTTAAGTTGTTGTTTCTGGTGTATAAGTTTCTCCTTAAAATAATCCGACGGAATTACCTTATGTAATTTTGAACAGCGTAAAATTATGATCAATAGTTAATTCGAGGCCACCGATTTCACGATATTTTTAGAAAGTGAATTTGCAGCCTTTAACAGTGCTAAAGGTGTCCAGCAATCATTTCTTAGGATAAAACGAATTTTGGCTCCTACGAAAACAGTACAGCAATCTGCAAGAGTTCCAACGAATGCAACAAGTGTTTTAACTTTGAAAATAATATCAGAACGAGAGAGAGGGGGGATGAGATTCAATGCAAAGAATATTTGTAATGAAAATTGTGTAATTTTTCTAGCAGCTGGACAGGCTATTTATAGACTTGTTCGTGACCATTCGAACATCCTCTCGAACAGTCGTCACTGGCCTTCAAAACTCGAACAAACATGTTTGTTCGATACTGTGCCGGTTTAGTCGGTTAATAGTCGACTGTTTAGTCGGTTAATAGTCGACTGTTTGGTCGGTTAACAGACGACTGTTTAATAGACCATCCAGACCAAGAAAAATTACCTAAAAATAAGCCAAAATTAATTTCATTAAATACCCAAGAATTTGATTATTTACAATTTAGTCCAAAAAACTTAAATAAATTTTGTCTAAAAAGTTAATGTAACGCAAGGACCCACCCACACCCGAACATGAACTAGACCGGATTCGGACACGGGCACGTGCTCGTGCCGGCCGATTGGACCAACGACGATAGATGCGTGCGCATGGGTTTATGATCGAACCCGATAGAATATAGGTCTCCCCCTTCCAAAGACTATTGGTACCCCTTGAGGCCCAAACCCAATTCCCAAACTTCCACTATATAAACCATACCAAAGTTTCCTAACTTTTTTATGTGGGATAAGTGTTTAATAAATCAAATTCTTCCATGATTTATAGTTTTAAATGGGTTACTTTGACATTCAATATTTCATTCAACTCTAAATAGTGTTTGACAAATAAATATACCACGTTAATCACCTCGTGAAGTAGAACGTGAATACCTAGATCCCGACATAATTAAAGTGTGGGTCCCACTGAAATTTGGGCTCAAACTTGACCGATTTATTAACCATTTTTCAACAATCTCCCACATGAATGAAATACGTCGACATTTTTCCAAACAATATCTGATATGTTTATCGAAGTAAAATTGAAGAAAACTCCATCGAGAAAAGTAGCTAAAGACTTTGAACTTTCCCTAATAAAATCTATCAGATTTACTCAGTCAATCAGTAGCAAGTTACTTTGAATAGTCAGCCATCCATGTAAACCTAGACAATAGAAGTCACACAGTTCTCTTCGATCACTGTTGGTTCTCACGTTTGTGTTCATTTTAGCCTTGGACACCTCCTGGTTCATGAGTGTTTTTAGAGAATTCGTCTTCACTTAATTCTCTTAGAAATGGCCCCTTCTCACCCACATAGGTGGTTTCTATAAAGAGTATTCTGCTATACTCCATTTGAACGAATCAAGATATAGAAACCATTAAAAGTGTAACTTAACCTATTTCACGACAATTAGACACTCGCTTATCATAAGAATGGGTAGGAGTAAAAATCTCCTAGTGCGTACTAAGTTTTCCACAATTTGGTTGTCCCATTGAACCTAGATTTTGGGATCTCTAGTCAACTATGTTAGGTTGCCATCATGGAAACTTTTGATTATTTTATTGGTTTTAATCTCATCCCCTTCGATGATCGTTCGACTTGCTCTCTTGTTAAACTTTTAGTTAGTAGATCCGCAATATTCTCTTTTGACTTCACATATTCTATAGAGATAATGCCAGTAGAGAGCAATTGTCTAACGGTATTATGTCTACGACGTATATGTCGATATTTACCGTTGTACATCGCATTCTGTGCCCTACCAATTGCTAATTGACTATCACAATGGATACATATAGCAGGCACATATTTTATCCAACATGGAATATCTTTTAGAAAGTTTCGTAGCCATTCAGCTTCTTCTCCAGCTTTTTCTAACGTAGTGAATTCGGATTCCATCGTTAACCTAGCCATACATGTTTGTTTTGAAGATTTTCATGATACTGCAGCACTTCCAAGTGTAAAAATATATCCACTTGTTGACTTGGAATCTTTAGTATGTGATATCCAATTTGCATCAGAGTATCCTTCAAGTACAGTTGGATATCTTGAATAGTGCAATCCAAAGTTTTTGGTATGTTTTAAATACCCTAAAACTCTAACAATTGTCTTCCAATGATCAGTACTTGGATTGCTCGTATATCGATTTAGTCTACTAATGGAATAAGCAATATCAGGTCGTGTGCAGTTCATGACATACATTAAGCTGCCAATAATACGAGAGTATTCCAATTGAGACTTACTATCACCAGTATCGGAAACAAGATGCATACTAACATTCATAGATGTTTTCATATACATAATATCATATTTCTTGAATTTATCAAGAATCTTCTTAATGTAGTGTGATTGAGTCAATATGAGACCATCGGATGTTCTAGAAATTTTAATTCCTAATATAACATCGGCCACACCTAAATCCTTCATTTCAAATTTACTTATTAGCATCCTTTTGGTAGTTTGAATTATGGTATCATTGTTACCCATAATCAATATGTCATCTACATATAAACATACTATGATGTAACCATTTTTAGTGTTTTTAATATATAACACATTTGTCACACTCGTTAATTTTGAAATTATTTGACATCATAATCGTGTCAAATTTTTCATGTCATTTCTTAGGAGCTTGCTTTAATCCATAAAGTGATTTAACAAGTCAACATACTTTCTTTTTTTGTCCTGAGGCCACAAATCCTTCAGGTTTCTCCATATAAATTTTTTCATCTAATTCACCATTCAAGAAAGCTATTTTAACATCCATTTGATATATATCCAAACCATTTAATGCTGCTATCGCAATAAGCATACGTATGGAAGTAATTCTTGTCACAGGAGAATAAGTATCGAAATAATCAAGACTTTCTTTTTGCTTGTAGCCTTTTGCGACAAGTCTAGCCTTATATTTGTCAATTGATCCATCTACTTTCATTTCTTTTTTGAAAATCCATTTACATCCCAATGGCATATTATTGGGAGGAAGGTCTACTAATTTCCATGTATGATTTTGTAGTATGAATCCAATTTCACTATAAACAGCTTTTTCCCAATATGAAGCTTTGGTTGATGACATAGCCTCCTTAAAACTTTGAGATTCATTTTCTAACAAATATATTAGAAAGTCAGGCCCAAAGGAGATTGAAGTCCTAGCCCTTTTACTGCGTCTAGGTTGTTCATTTATAGATTCTTGATCTATAGCCTCTTCACTTTCACGAGATATCTTCAGTGAATTTGATTCATTTTGCATGTTATAAGGAAAAACATTTTCGAAAAATGTAGCATCCTTTAATTCAATAATTGTATTGACATGCACATCGAGTATTTCAGACTTCTGTACAAGAAATCTATACGCATTATTGTAGTAGGCATAGCCAATGAATACACAATCAATGGTTTTAGGTCCTATCTTAACTCTTTTGGGTTTAGGAATTGCTACTTTAGCCAAACAACCCCATACCTTCAAGTATTTATAATTAGGTTTGTGATATTTCCATACTTCATAAGGTATTTTAGGAGTTTTTCGATGTGATAATTTGTTAAGAATATAATTGACAGAAAGCAAAGCTTCCCCCCACAAGTTCTGTGGTAATCTAGATCTTATTAACATAGCATTCATCATCTTCTTCAATATTCAATTCTTGCGTTCAGCAACACCATTGGATTGAAGAGAATAAGGCGTGGTAGTTTTATGAATAATTCCATGTTTCGAACAGAATTGTTCAAATTGAGAATCATATTCACCATCTCTATCACTTCTTATGGTCTTAATCTTTTATTAAGTTGATTTTCAACTTATAACTTGTAGTATTTAAACACTTCAATTGTTTCGTCTTTGCTTTTGAGTAAATATACATAGCAATATCGAGTACAATCATCGATAAAAGTGATAAAGTACTCATTACCTCCTCTAGTTTGAATAAACTTTAAATCACATATGTCAGTGTGGATCAAATCTAGGAGTTCGGTACTTCTTTTAACAGAACGAAAGGGTAAATGTGCCATTTTGGCTTCTACACATATATCGCATTTGTGATTAGGATTTAAATCGTACTTTGGTAATAAATTTAATTTGATTAGTCTTCGCAAAGTATTATAATTTACATGTCCTAATCGTTTATGTCAAATATTAAATGACTCCAGCAAGTAAGAAGAAGATGTAATTTTATTCATAATCGGAGATACAACGGTTATTACATTCAACTTAAAGAGCCCCTCATTCAGGTAGCCATTTCCTACAAGCATTTCATTATTTGTAAGTACAAATTTGTCTGAAACGAATACTAACTTAAACCCATTCTTGCTTAATAAGGAACCAGATATCAAATTCTTTTGAATATCTGGCACATGAAGAACGTCATTTAAAGTGAGCTCCTTTTCACTTGTCATTTTTAGCACTATCTTTTCATGTCCTTTTACCTTGGAAGATGAAGAGTTTCCCATGTAGAGGTGTTCATCATGATCCATCGCTTTGTAGATAGAGAAGATCCCATGGTTTGAGCATATATGACGAGTAGCTCCAGTATCCACCTACCATTCCTTAGTGTTTCCAACTAAGCTGCATTCAGAGACGAACCCAGAAAGATTTATATCTTGTACCTTATCGGAGAGGTTGTTATGTTCCGTTACATTAGCCTGATGTGTTTTTCCCTTGAAATTCTTTGGCTTTCGACAGTCCTTGGATCGATGTCCTGCCTTGCCACAATTGTAACAGTTACCTTTGAACTTTTTAGCAGTTTTTGAAGAACTAGTTTGTCATTCTCCATTGTGCTTCCTCTTTTTGCTTGTCTTTAAACATCCTTCCATAATGTTGGCTTTCAATTTCATCACATGAGATGCACCATTCTTTTTTTCAGATTTGCGATTGTCTTTTTCAATTCTCAATCGAACAATGATATCTTCAAGTTTCATTTCCTTCCGCTTATGCTTTAGATAATTCTTGAAGTTCTTCCAAAAAGGCGGTTATTTCTCAATCAGTGTAGCAACTTGAAATGATTCATTTAGTTTCATTCATTCGGCATGGATGTCGCTGAGTAGGATTTGAAGTTCTTAAACTTGGGATATGACAGTCTTGCTGTCAACCATTTTATAATCCAAAAAATGATCGACAATTCGTGCCTACATCTTCGATTTTGTACTTGGTTTCCAAAGATCCCCATAGTTCTTTTGCAGATTTCGTATTGCAGTACACATTATGTAATGTGTTATCCAATCCATTGAGCACATAATTTCTGCATAGAAAATCAGAATGCTTCCTTGCATCAACCGCAGCCAATTTCTCAACATCACTGTCTTGTTCGGTGTATGAAGGTGCATTTTTTTTTTTGAGAAATTTAGCCAAACTTAATATTGTTAGATAAAAAAGCATTTTCTGTTGCCAGCACTTGAAATCTGATCCATTAAATTTCACTGGTTTCTTTCCGATCGTATTCGAGAGTGTAATATCAGAAGTTGTCATTTTTGAAACACAATTAGAAGATAGATGATAAGAAGGGGTAGAAACATAATAAACTAGAAAAAAAATTCGTTTTAAAATTGTTATTTCTGGAGTATAAGTTTCTCCTTAAAATAATTCGACAGAATTACCTTATGTAATTTTGAACAACATAAAATTATGATCAACAGTTAATTCGAGCCCACCGACTTTATGATATTTTCTTAAAATGAATTTGCTGTCTTCAACGGTACTAAAGACGTTCAGTAATCGTTTTCCAGGATAGAACAAATTTTGTCTCCTACGAAAGTAGCACAGTAATCTGCAGGAGTTCCAACGAAAGCAACGAAGTGTTTTAACTTCGAAAATAATATCAGAACGAGAGAGAGGAAGGATGAGATTCAATGCAGAGAATATTTGCAATGAAAAAGGTATAATTTTTCTAACAACGAGGCAGAATATTTATAGACTTGTTCGAGGCTATTCGAACATCCTCTCGAACAGTCGTCACTGTTCAGACAACCTTCAAAACTGACATGTTTGTTTGATACTGCGCCGATTTAGTTGGTCAACAGTTGACTGTTTAGTCAGTTAACAGTCAATTGTTTGGTCGATTAATAGATGATTGTTTAACAGACCATCCAAACCAAGAAAAATTACCTTTTAATAAGTCAAAATTAATTTCATTAAGTACCCGAGAATTTGATTATTTACAATTTGATCCAAAAATTTCATATAAAATTTGTCCAAAAAGTTAATATAGCGCAAGGACCCACCCGTACTCGAACACGAACCAGACCGGACTCAGACTCGGGCATGTGCTCGTGCCAGGCCGGTCGGTCGGACGGAGGCTCACGCGTGTGGGTTTATAACCGAGCCCGATAGGATATCATTCTCTCTCCTTCCAAAGACTATTTGTACCCCTTAGGGCCCAAACTCAATTCCCAAACTTTCACTATATAAACCACATCAAAGTTTCATAACTTTTCTATGCGGGATAAGTGTTTGGTAAATCAAATTCTTCCATAATTTATAGTTTCAAGTGGATTACTTTGATATTCAATATTTCATTCAACTCTAAATGGTTTTCGACAAATAAATATATCACGTTAATCACCTTGCGGAGTAGAACGTGAATACTCTAGATCTCGACTTGATTAAAGTGTGGGTCCCACTGAAACTTGGGCTCAAATTTGACCCATTTATTAACCATTTTCCAACCTAAGTTAACATATTTATAATATGAATTGCTTAAATTTGTTCAATTTTGTCATTTTTCTCCAACTAAAATATACAAATGCAAACTATTTCATATCAGTTTTCCAATAATGACTATTGTTTTAAATTTTTTTGGTGTAGAAAGTCTAAAAAAGTAGTTTCTTAAACTTACAAATCTAATTTTTTTATGTATATTTTTAGTGTAAAAATTATATATACCAATGTATTGAAACCAACCCAAAAAGGACAAAGAGTCAAGGGTCAAAAAATCGAATCGGCATTGAGCCGGGTATAATAAATAAATAAATATACCACAAAATTTTGAGAAAAATAAGTTAATTTCTTAATATTAATTAATACACTCAGATAAAAGATAAGTGAGTAACAAAATTTTCCTCCCAAAATAAAGTATTTCTTTTCTTGAAATGTGTAGTTTTATTAAAATTTGAAACTTGGCTACATTTAATTTTCGTTATAATCACTTCTAATCTTTAAAAAAAAAAAAAAAAAAAGAGACGATAAAAATAGCTAAATTTTCAACATATAATTTATATAGCATTTCAGCCTGTGTTTATGTTTCATTTGTTTACTAAAAACTTAATAGTTACTTTTCAAAGTCAATTTTGAATATAACTACACATTTCAAGAAAAGAAAATAATTTATTTTGGGAACAAATTTTCTTATTCACTTTTTCAGATAAAAATAGCACTTCCTTCCTCAGATCATTCCTAGAAAAGTTGTTAAAAGGCTTGATGGTGTTCATTTGTAATGTTAAACAATACAACATCTAAACCAGGAAGGACAAAGGTGAAGGAAAAAACGATAAAATGGCCAGCAAATTGTAGGGAAATAATAAATGCTGGGCCTTATTAACTTGTTAACATTAGGCCTAAGGAGTTTACTATATAGGAATTGGGATCGAGTCACTGGTTTGTGGTTTGAACTTTCTTTTGGCAGATTTTTTCTCGATTATTAGCTTGAAGGATTTTAAGTCATAGTCGAACCGATTTATTGGGCGGTTCATGCGTTTTTCGGTTGGACCAACTAGTCCGATCCGATTTTGACAACATTGAAATATACATTATTCCTTATTGTGCACCTAGGAGGTCTAAAAAATTATTTGGTCATTGAACTTTGCAAAATATATACATTGGCCATTAAACTTTAAAAGTTTTTTTTTGAATGGTCGTTGAATTTATCGAATTGTTATTACATTGGCTATTAAACTTTAGAGGTTTTTTTGGATGATCACCTTACTTATCAAATTGTTATTCCATTGGCTCTTGAACTTTAAAATTTTTTTGATTAATCACCAAATTTATTAAATTGTTGTTTCATTCATCACTCAATAACTCACCATTAAAAAAAAAATTGACGGAATTACTAACATGACAAATGAAAATGCTAACATGACACATTATATTATTGTCGCTAATGGTCGACAAATTAGTAAAAAATGTGCTTCCATCTATTACGAGCTATTATAAAAATTGCGATTTAATTTTAACATTTGCTTGTTTTCTTTTGTTTATATGTATTTTCATTTAATATTATTATTTCATTGCTTTTTTACATTATTCAAATTTTTTTACAAGCACGTTTTTGGCTAATTTGTCAGTAACTAACAATAATAATATGTCATATCCATATTTCCATTTGTCATGTCAGCGAATTCGTTAAATTTTCTAATGATAAGCTATCGTTTGATGGACGGATTGATAAGTTCAATGACCATCCGAAAATTTTTTAAAATTTAATAGCCAATGAAATAATGATTTGATAATTTTGGTGACCATTCAAAAAACTTTCAAAATTTAATGACCAACGAAAAATATTGTGTAAAGTTCAATGGCCATGTGAATTTTTTAATTTTACCTAGGAAAAGATCGCTGCTATTTGAATATTAGCACATTCGAAAACTGATTCTAAAATGTTCACATTCATAGGAAAGTTTTGTGCGTAGAATACATAGCATTACTAAAAAAGAACATTTATAAATAGTGATGCATTGCTAAACTTACTAATCTTTGAAGGTAAATTCTTTTATATGAGATGCGTGTTCGATAAGATGGGTTGAACTCAATCAACAATGAAAACCTAATTATCAAGTTGGTCAGCCTTCGTAGTCAACTAGCTCGATTCAATAGTTGAATGGGTTGAGTTTTTATAATAACAAATAAAGGTAAAAATTTTTAAATACACACAATAAAAAGTAACATAGACAAGCAAAAACAATTTTCTCCCCACAAAAGTAATTATATAGTGTACTATCGCACATGCACAAGAGTATTTGGCCAGGAAAGGTAATGAAAACTTTCAGTAATTCTTTGAATGAAGAATCAGAGTTCATGAATCAAAGCCAAATCCCATGGAAATAAGAAATAACTATGACGAATGTGTTTTCAAAATTACGACATTTTCATAGGCTGTTTATAGGAAAATTTTATGAAATTATTTCACAAAAACTAACATTAGAGCACACTAAGAAATTAGATCAGAATTTATAGATGCTAAATTATACTATAACCAAAATCAGGTCGTATTTAGGAAAATGTGATCACAAATTATCAAAATCAAGTTACAAAAACCTATTCACGTAAGTCACAGTATGCTCATACGCTACATTTGACATTCCAGAGCATTTACACAAATAAACATTAACTGCACGAGGGATTACGTTCGATTTTTTTTTTGGTTACATATAAACAAAAATCAGATGGCAATACATCATATGTACGTCACAAATAATCCATTCAAAGCACATCCATACACTACATTTCATACTGGGAAGCATTTAAACAAAAACAATGAATG